CACAGGGATACCCATGACCACTTACTGAGTCGGAACTGGATGCCAAGCGCGGCACAGGGATCTTCCTGAAGCTGGAGCTCAGAGGGCTAAACTCTTCTCCAAGGTCACCTAGCCTACGATGGCAGGAGTTGGCAACTCAAGACTCTGACTGCAAAGCTGTCCTCCAAACAAGAGGTTTAAAACTGTCCTTAAAGGCCCTGGAGAGCCACAAGAGGAGACTCAAGATACTTCAAATAACGAAGCTCTCTGCTCCTCATGGATTTTTGCACTGAAACCATGCAAAACAACTTTTTTTTTTTTAATAAAGGATTCGGTTTGAACATTGTTACATTTATTCCATATTCCACGAAGGCCTTACTGTGAAGTAGAGAAGGCTGGAGGCTGGAGAAAAAGCCACTGAATTTAGAAATGGGGAGCCTAACGGTGACCTGGGTATAGGGAGTCAGCGCACTTTGGTTACTAGCAACAGAAACCAACTGGCTGTAGGAAGCCGAGATGAGACGGTACTGAAAGCAACATGGAAGGAGCCTTTTGAAATGCACTCAGGAGGCCAGTGGGAAGCCGTTCCTGTGCACTTTTCAAACTGGTGCTAGGAATGTGAACTTTGGTTACCCTTGCCCTCTGACCGCAGGCATCTTGAACAGGTGATCTCATTGTGCCCGGAGACTCAACGTGCCTATCGAGTGGTCTCGGGACTTTTGCTTTATGGACAGTTTTCACTAAGCATGAACATTCTTTTCTTTATCTTCCATAGGTCACGCTAGCCTCTGTTATTCAGTACCCGATCTTCCTCAATTTCAATAGAATTCCCTACAGAGAGATTCTACCTCTTTCTACTGTTTGCCCATTTAAGCTCTGACTTCTTTGGAACATTGACTCAGAGCTCTCTGAACCCGTGTCTCCTGAGTTACAATCACGAAGGCTCCAATAAACACCTCTTTACTTCTGCAGTTGCTAAGTTTGCACTGATCAACAAAGAAACTTATGACAATGGTGTGGAGATGTACTGGGTATCCATTCTCTCTTCCTAACAGCTCCTTTAAGTTAGCTAGGGCTGAATTCGAATACTTGCAACCAAGAGCACTGACTGATTTGGGTTAGCTCACAGAACTGAAGGGAAACCTAAAAAACCTGGTTTGGAAAGGATGGTAAACAAGGAAGAACTGGGGCCTTCCCCGGGCACCTCTGAGAGAGCTCAGGTCTTTTGTCCTTCCTTGTTCAAGATGAAAATTCCAGCTATTCTGTGGGGACAGGTCAGGCACTTTGATTGACAGTTCCCCCTGTCCTACTATCCTGGTACAAACCCAAATCAGGGCACTTTATCAGAAAAAGGATCAACAGATGGTAGGTACAAAACAAAATAGCCAGTATCCCCAGAAAGAGGAGAGAGAGGTTTCCATAAAATGAAATTTGATTGAGTCCAACAGTTCAAGAGGACAAGGCTCCATTGTATAGTTAAAGACAGCTGTTAGTTCCTGGGAATTTCTCAAATCTTCACCATTAACTTGTTTACGGCCACTTTAGAGTAGGCGTGGCTACAGGTGACTAACATCGCCTCCCTTTATAAACTTTTCCTTCGTTCCTTTACTATTTCCTTCCTCTTCTTCCTTGATAAATATTGCTTTACACTCATAAAGTCATGTCCAAAGTTTTGGATGTATCATCTATTTTAACCTTGGATAGTTCTGTGTGTGGAAATGCGTTTGTGTGTGTGATACTGAAATAACTGGGACTGCATGAGCAAAAAGTATTGCTATCTTCCTTCTGATTTACTGGCTGTGTTCCCTTCGGTCAGTCACTTTGTCTATCTAAATCTCCACTTCTTTACCTGTAAGATACTCCGTGAGATTTTTACATACATGCAAGCTTACTGAGCACTTACTACATGCTCATCCACAGGTTACAAGGTAAATGCCCTCTCTGGACAAGCAGGTAATATCAACTGAAGTAGCTGGGGGCAGGGTATGTGAGACAATAAGGAACGGTGGGGATAATTGGGAAATGGAAAGAATGCTCCTTTCATAAAGAGAGTGGCTTCATTTAACTCTAGGTCACAACATTCATAGTGTGGTCTCTTAACTCGCGGTATCACCTGGAAACCTCTCAAATGCACATTTCTATCCCAGGCCTATTAATCAAAACTCAGGGGAGTGCCAGGCACAGCGGTGCACATCTATAATCCCAGTGACTCTGGAGGCTGAGGCAGGATGATCGTAAGTTTGAGGCCAGCCTCAGAAATTTAGCAAGACTTGGCAACTTACCAAGACCCTGTCTTAAAATAAAAAATAAAAAGGAATAGGGACTGTAGCTCAGTGGTAAAGCACTCCTGGGTTCTAACTCCAGTATCAAAAATAAAAACAGAAACCCCCAAAACTGCAAAACCTCTGGGGGTGGGGTGGGGTGCTGCAACCAGTGTTTGAACAAGCCCTCCAAGTGATTCTGACACAGGCTGCTCTGAGACCCACACTGTAACTGAGGGCTGCTATGTACAGGCTGCAGGACCGGGCTGCCAGGTCTTGTTCTTTTTCCAAGAGAAAAAAGAGGTTTATTTTTATGTGAAATTCCCCACGTTTAAATCTTGGCAACTAATTTAAATTTTAAAAATGTACTGTGTGGGCTAACAATACATGCGCTATAGCTGGATTTGCTGCCTCTGGTCTCTGTTCTTCCCTTTAATCCTTAGAATAATCTTATGAGATGTCATGATGATGCTCATTTTGTGGAGGAAGACGTAGGTCCTAAAAGTGAAGTGCTCCTCAAAGTTACAGCCAGAAAATGGCTAACCCCGACGTGAGACCGGGATGCATTTGGTTTTAAAGTCTCTGCTCTTTTTACTTATGCAAAAGAGAAAACAATATGACTTTTCATATTGTGGCTCTGACACTGCAAAAACTAAACATCTGATGCCATCCACCTATGAAATGTTCTTTCCATCCTTCTACCACCCCACCCCACTTCCTGAGCCTCACACTAATCCGCATTCTTTTAAGAGTGAGCCAATCAGCAAGGGGGGGGCCTCTGAAGAGGTGGGAGGGGCGAGGCTGGCGGTTTCCTGGCCAGGGGGTGCTGGATAGGTCCTGGACAATCAGCCGGCAGCCTGCTGGGCCACAGGCTGAACCCAGGGGCTCACCACAGTGTCCTCTGCCGTGCCCTGAGTGTCGGGAGTTTGCCCAGGGCTGCGTCTCCCCCTGGCTCTCGCCCTCATGGCTGTTGACTGTTCTGAGCTCAGAGCAAATAGTCCTGGCCCCTCCCTACAACGGCATGTGTCCAGGGCTGAGGCTGGGCCTGGGAAGCTGGGGGAGACATTCTCAGACTCTTTCATGGACACCCATCATGGGAACGGTGGCTCATTGTACCCACATCAGCAAACTACTCACCCGTCCTCCTGATTTTCATTGTTCCTGACCCCTCTAGCCACCAGCAGCAAAGACTTCACTGGGTTTCCAGAACCTCGGATTACTGGAGCAAGAAAAATGTTTGAAGGCACTTCTTTCTAACTCCCTTGGCAACCATTTTGACATTTACCACCCTGGATTCTAACAGTATATACAGTTGTCCCTAAGTATCCCGGATCCCTGTGTATATCCACCCACAGATGCTCAAATCCTGCATATAAAAAGGAGCAATATTTGTATATAGCCTGGGAGCATTTCACATACACTCTAAATCCTGTATAGATTGCTTAGAATACCTACTGGAATGTAAATGCAATGGAAGTCGGTGTATACTGTGTTGTTTAGGGAATAGTGGAAAGAAACAAGTGTGTACACATTCAGTACAGGTGCATTTTTTTTTCCCAAGCGTTTTTCATCCAATGTTGGTTGAATGCAAGATCATGGAAGCCATAGATGTGGAGGGAGGGGAGGGGAGGCTGTACTAGACAGTCTCCTTACCTGTTACTGAGCACTAGAGGCCACTTATGTAGCACCTATTGTGTGCCAGACCTGGGGTTCCTATGTCAATCAGTGTGAACTTACCTACCAGGAGTACATACGTGTTCCACGGCAGGCACATTAATGTTGTAGATGAATGTTTATGTTATAGATGACAAAATGGTCATTCTGAATGGAGAAGTAAGTCACTTGAAGACCCTCGGGTGGAAAGTGATGGAGGTGTGTCAAACCTAGACACCAGAGCTCAGTGATTCCTATGGACTATTTTCTCTATCCCAAGTGCCCATGTGTGTATACACCCGGCGAATATTTACGATGGAGTGGGAAAAAAAGGCCCCAAACAAGGCCTGTAGGGAGAGATCTGGGGTGAAATAGACTTGTCCGCACAGCTTTGCCTGGGACCTTGGTGAGGGGGGCGGTCCTAAACCTCTGTACATCACTTTATCATATCCAGTTGGCAAGAATAACCCTCGTGTCAAAGGCTGCTGGGAAGATCCATGAGCGCAGGAGCATGGTACCTGGTGGCAGTCAACCCCGATTGAGTGGTTGACTCAATAGAAATGCACCCAGTATGGCTGGGAACTGCTAACAGTCTTCCACCTCCGCGGGCATGTTCCTTGTCAGATGGGTTCATTTATCACCGACAGGCGCCATTTCTACAGCCTGTACCACCCAGCCCTCCACCACCAATCCTTAAACAGGGATCTGACCCCAAGTCCAATCACTTAATCCTCAAGGTCTCTTGCCTCCCTGTGGCCTTGCTCTTTCCCCCTCCAACCCTCAGCCTTGGACATTCCAGGAGGACTCCAGTGGAGCCCTGGGCTTGGACTGTGCTGGCTTCCCGCGGCCCTACCCTGCCCTCAGGCCCCAGGAGGGAGGAAAGGAGGGGGGAGTGGACAAGGGTCCGGCTGCAGCTGGTCGAGCTGCTCCTGGCCTGGAAGCTGCTTAGGTTCCTGGTTCCCACCGGGGCCAAGAGTGACACCTGATCCCGGGGGATTGTGAAATGGCATGAGGTGGCAGTGCTCCCGCTGTGCCCATTGGGCTCTTAGGCCCCCACCGCACCCCCTAGCTCGGCCCCGCCCCTGCCCCACGCCCCCCGCGCTCGCGGTTAAATCCCCCCACCCGGCTGCCGCTGCACCTGCACCCCGCCCCGGCGCAGCACCATGCCCGTCTCTCGCCTCTGCGCGCTGGCCGCCGCCCTCCTCCTTGGACTGCTGCTGCTGGGCCTCCCTCCGGCTACAGGTGAGTGGGGCGGGGAAAGGCCGGGTGCCCAAAGGGCCGAGCCACCTGCGCAAGACGGAGTCAGGCAGAGGTGTAGCCTCCCTGGGGGCTGGGGAAGTGGGGATTCTTGGGGCGGAAGTGGGGACACCCATGAAAACTAAGATTGGTGATCTCTGGGGCCTAAAGCTAGTGACCCTTGGAGCTCGGGGTGTGGAGCCAAGGTCCTGGAGGTGGTGAGACTACCAGGGGCTAAAATTTGGAGGGGCGGGGCGGGTGCTGAGGGCGGAGACGGGGCTGCCCTGGAGCGGGGAGCCGTCTAGACGCAGGAGGCTCCCAGGCGCTCAGGCGTGCAGTCCCCTGAGGACTGAGATTTGAGGATTTGAAGCCACGCCTGGGGACCTCCTGTACTCCCAGGGTTCGGGAACCCCTGGGGTGGTGTGGGCCTCTAGGAGCTTTTAGAGGGTCCCCAGGGCCGGAAAGTGAGAAGGCCAGGAACTGAGATTTGGGGGTCCTTAGAGTAGGAAGCGGGCATCCTCTGGGACTGGGGCCCCCGACTGACCCTCCTCCTGCCCTCGCCCGTCCGCAGGCGCGGGGGAGAGGGCGGGCGTGTGCCCGCAGCTGCCGGCGGACGTGAACTGCACCAAGGAGTGCCTCTCGGACAGCGACTGCGCCGACTACCGCAAGTGCTGCCAGGCCGGCTGCGGCAGCGTGTGCTCCATTCCCAACGGTGACCCCGCGGCGACCCGGCGGGGACGGGCGGGGCCGCGGAGGATGCGGGTGGCGGAGCGCCGCGTTCTGGGAAGGAGGGCGTCCCTGCCCCCGGGGACCCCGGAAGGTCCGGGCGGGTGAAGCAGATGCGTCCCCGCCGTCCTCCCCGCGTGGGCGGCGGGCGACAAAGCGTCGCCGAAGCCAGGCGGAGGGCGAGGGCGGTCCCCTCGCCCTGGCTGCCTTCGGTTCTCGGGTGCACGACGGCTTCCGGGAACGCGCAGCGGGACGTTGTTCCGGGCAGCCTGGGGACCCGCTGCGCTTCCTTCCCGGCCGGCCGGGGCCTGCGGGAATCCCGGGCGGCCTCCGAGCTGGGCGGGAGGCCCGGGCGCCGACTCTCAGCTGCCCTCCCCTGGGCCTCCCAACCCTGGGGAAGAGGGCTAGCAGCCCGGGCCGGCGAGACTCGCAGGTTCCTCCCTCTAAAACTTCCCAGATTAGAGGAGCCCACATCTTGACCTGTAGACGCGAGCCGCGGAGGGAGCCACGGTCCTGCCTAAGGTCGCATTGCCATCCCGTGGCTGACAGTTCAAGTTTCTAAAATTTATTTTTTATTTTTTGTGTTTGCTATCTACTAGCCGAGAGGTTTGAAGAATGCCAGGACCTCTCCCTGGGCACCTTATCCTCCTTCTTAATCTTTAAATTTATCTCTCTCTTCCATCCGAAGTACCCAGAAAGGGTGCCGAGGTGCTCCGTCGGGGTGCTCGCTGGGGCGCTACCCTCTGCACCAGGCTGTGAACTCTGATCAGGGCGAGATGTGGCCTTGGCATGGAATCCAGGCTTCTCATTTCCCGAAGGGAGAAACACGAAAAGCAGGGATACCATCTGGGGGGAAGGGGCGCGCGTGGGAGGGCGACGTGGGAGACCCAGGTACTGTAATTACTGGTCTTTACCCAGGATACAGCCTCTGCGATTTTTCCGCTTGGTTATTTCCCCATCAAAATGCCAGCCGAAGCTGGGAATTGGGAGACCCTGGACCCTGTGAGGAGGGCAGTGGGAGGTGGAGGCGGGCTTGCCCACTAGGGGGCAGCATCTCGTTGTGGAGACCTCTAGTGTGGACCTGAGAGGGAGGACCAGAAGACATGAGGACTGGGAGAGGAGGTCAGAGGCAGAGCCAGGTGGAGGGGCAAGAGGTGTTGTTGGGTGGATAAAGAGGCACAGGCCAGAGAGCTGCCTGGACCGGGGAGGAGCCCGGAGGCTGGAATCCCAGCCCTGGCCTTTCCAGGTGTGTGATCTTGAGCAAGGTGCTTTATCTCTGAGCTTCTGCTTTCTTGTTTGCACAGTGGGATTGATATGAGGGCTAAATGAAGTGGACCTCGAAGTGTCCCATTGATGCGGGAACATTCTGTGTACTTAACAGAGCTCTTCCCTGTTTATACCCTTTTAGTCCCAGGGCCACCTGTTATTGAGAGCTTCTGCCCTTTTCAAGGGAATGGGTTTCTTTGTAAGGGAGTCAGGACTCTGTCAACCAGGCTTGAGGTCCCCTGCAGCTAATCAACAAGTTCTGGGCCTAATTTTACATTTGGCTGATCCTGGCTTCCTTCTCCCTGACCCAGAAGTAGAGTGGTGTGTGTGTGTGTGTGTGTGTGTGTGTATTATAGAAGGCTGGGCTCAGGTCTTAGTTTACTCCTGAGCAGCAGGGTGCTGCTGGGTGGCACCTCTCTATGCCACGTTTTTCTCATGCATGATATAAATAGGGTTAGAAATATCCCCTATGGCTGGGTGTGATGGCCCATGCCTATAATCCCAGTGACTTGGGAGGCTGTGGTAGGAGGATTGCCAGTTCGAGGCCAGCCATAGCAACTTAGCAAGACCCTAAGCGATTTAGCAAGACTCTGACTCAAAAGAAAAAAAAATGTGTGTGTGTGTGTGTGTGTGTGTGTATATATATATATATATATATATATATATATATATATATAAATAAATATGAAGGCTGGGGGTGTGGTTCAGTGGTAAAGTGCCTCTGAGTTTAATTCCTTTTACCAAATAAATAAATAAAGAAAAGAAAAAGAAAGGAGAAAGAAAAAAAGGAATATCCCCTACAATGGAAATGGAATGGTTCATGTGAAGATTAAAGGAGATAACAGGTTTCCATAGAGAGCACACAGCACATCTCCGCAGTGTTTGCTCTAGTGTGCATGTGTGTAAGGATGTGTGGTTTTATCTGTGCATTAAGTATGGAGGGCCACGGTGCTGAGTGATTTTGATTGGCAGTGAGTCAGTGGAAGTGAGTGAAGAGAAGGTTGAGTGTGCTCCTCTCGTGTGCTCAGCCCATTGGGTGATCCTGCACTGTGTCACCAGCCATGCCAGGTGCTGGTTTTAGCAGCAGGTGCGCAGGGGGCTGGCACACACATTCTGGAGCTAGATTTCCTGCAGTTCAAATCCTGCCTCAGTCCTGTGTGACCTTAGACAACTTAACCTTCTCTGTTAGGGAGGTTAACAGAGCAGCTTAACAGAGTGGGTAGGAAAGCAGGAGCATCCCTGGGGCACTTCAGGAAGAGCCAGAGGGCTCTTTCTCTGCCTCACTTTCCTCCTCTGCAACATGAGGAACTATTAACAGGCCCCGCCTCCTCTCTTAGGGATTTTGTGAGGATGGAATGAGCTAATATGTGTCAAGTGCTTGGAATAAAGCCTGGCTGACAGCAGGGGTGAAGTCATTTTAATAACTACTCATTATTATTACACAGTAGTTTGCTCTTTGGGGGGAGAAACAATGTATGTTTGCTTCCATTGCTTTTGCAACCACCCCCTGAGGTGTGTGACACTGACACCTGAGGCATGAGGGATTTCTGGCCCTAGTCCACAAACGGCAGAGCAGGGACTCAACTGGGGGCTTATGATTCTGAAGGCATCTGGGAGCAGAAGGACGGAATTGCAAGTGAATTCCCTGGCTAAGGCCCCCAAAATCAGAATTCCGAGGCAGCTCCGCTGTTTATGAGTCAGGGTGAGGGGCCGTGGTGGATCCTGCTGTGGCTGTCACCTCTCTGTCCCACCTTTGACCTGCCTCCTCTTACTCCTTTTTCTACCCAGAGAAGCCAGGTTCCTGCCCCAATGTGGACTTACCCCAGCTTGGCATCTGCCAGGACCAGTGCCAGGAGGACAGCCAGTGTACTGGCCCCATGAAATGCTGCCGCAATGGCTGCGGAAAGGTGTCCTGTGTCACACCTGACCCCTGAGGTAGGTGGGCAGAGAGCAAGGTCAGGCATCGAAATCCAAGGATGACGGTACCCTCAGCAGGTTGAAGAGGGAGACCTGTGCACATGCTCTGGAGCTCGCGCGTTGGACTATTTATTTACTTTAATTCATTCACAGTTACTGGTTGAGTCGTGTGCTCTGACCACTCTGGGGCTCTGGGGATGCTCCATGAATGAACAAATTGACAAAAATGTCTCTCGGGTGGGGTTTACAGTCCAGTGGGTGATAAACCAAGTAAGTCAGCAAGCAGATTCTGCAGCATGTTACAAGGAGAAAGGGCCCAGGGGAGGGGAAGACAGGGGACAGCCTTGGTGAGGCCTTCACAGTGAAACCCATGTGAAGGCCTCACCAAGAAAGTGGGAAGAGAGGGAGGACACTGTGGGGATGTCCAGGGAGCATCAGGTACAGGGAGCGGTGGATGCTAAGGCAGGAGCATCCCTGGGGGACTTCAGGAAGAGAGATGCCCTGGATCAGGGTGCAGGCAGGGCAGAGAGGTGGCTGGGATGGAATGTGGTGAAGGCAGGTGGGGCAGAAACAAACCAAACGCTTGGTTGGCCCGTTGGGTGATCCTGCCCTGTGTCACCAGCCATGCCAGGTGCTGGGACACAAAAGTGACCATTGCCCATCCCCAGAGCTTGAAGCCCAGGAGCTGAGGCGGATGGGTGGATGACATGCCCAGTGCCCATAGTCAGCTCCTGGTGCCGTGGGAAACAGAAACATCACACAGACGGGTGGGGGCGGTGGACAGATGGAGCAGACCAATGGGGGGAGGCTTCCCGGGGCGGTGACCTGAGCCACAACTAAAAGGTGAGTAAAAGGTAGGTGGCCCTGTGCAGTGCAGTGGGGCAGTCGTCGCAGGCAGAGGGAACAAGAGGAACTTGGAAGTGCCCTTTGGTTGAACACAATTTCAGCAAAGGAACCTGAAGGTCACGGATGAAACCCATTGAGTGCGCAGAGGAGAGACCTGAAGCCTTGAGAGGGAGGACCTGCCCCAGGTCCTGCTGTTTCAAAATGTGCTCTTTAGTGGTTAAGAGGGAGCCATAGTTTCCCCAGGGCCCAGAGCTCTCCTATGGTGTCAGCCACATGGGTGGGTTTTGCAGGCAGGAAGACCCAGGTTCAAATTTCAGCTCTGACATGTAACTGGCCTTTTCACCTCCCTGAGCCACAACTGTTTTGCTTCTAGAATGTGAATAACTGAGATCTATTTGATCAGCTCATCTCAGCTTAGTGTGTGCAATGACACCACAATGGCAGTTCCTGGTGGTAGAGGGATTCCTAGCGTGGTGAATGCCCACCGTCCCTCAGGAAGGCCACAGTGGTCAGTCAGGACAGGATATACCCAGGTGCGTCCTGGGGATGATCAGAAGCAGAAGAGATGGATCTAGAACCTTCAGGAAATTGCAAGCAGTTGAAGCTTTGCTGTGTATGAGTGGGATGGTGGGTTGGGAGGAGTCGGTCCAGGATTTATGTGGCTGCTACTCCTGTCCAGTGTGATGGATGTCATTTTTGATGCTATTGTTACGATTCTCTTCCTCCAGCTCCAGCCACCACCAGCCTGAGGAGTGGGGAGGGGAAGCTTCTGCCTAGACACACATCCGGCCCCCTCATGGCCACCCTCCCTTCTTGGTAGCCTCTGCACTCCTTCCTGGGCTGACCATGGCTTCTCCCTTCTCCCGCCAATAAAGTGACTGCTTTCAGCATTGGTGGCGTCATAGCTTCTGTTCTTATCATCCTGTCCCTGTTTCCTGACACTTGGGTTGGGGTAGGTGGGGCAACCAGATGGTCCAGGCGTGAAGTCCAGGGAGGGCTTAGCTCTGACCCATGGATTCAGGCCTTGTCTCCACATGTCAGCATTTTCCTGGTGAATGCATGCACCCGTCCTGTGAGGTTGGTCATTGTCCTCCAAAGGTGATGAATGAGAAAAAGAGATCAGAGAAGAGATGGAATGCCTCCATAGTCACTCTAATTCACAGCTGGGCATCTGATGATAGCAGCAGCATGGGCCATGTGCCAAACACACTTGGCTTGTGAGGTCTCCTGGCTTCTCAGAATCCTCAGAATAATTAATAGTCATCCCAAGTTACAGACTGGGACTCCAAGAGGTTACTGACCCAAGACCTCACAGAAAGAAGGTGGCGCCACTGGAGGTCAGATCTAATATTCAGAGTGACTCTGAGGTCTATATGTGTTGCTCATACAGAGCACAGCACAGTGCCTGGCAGGATGTATGACAATGAGTGTTCCTTGGACAGTGGGTAACAGCTCGCGTGGGCTTGAAGAGAGCCCTTGTATGAGCCTGGCAGGTGAAGGGGATGTCCAGGTGAACATGCCTGCTTCCATCCTGCCCTCCAGCCCTGAGGTCAGGGGAGTCTGAGAGAATGATGGGGAGAGCTTTGCAATGCATGGGAAGGGACACTTTGGGATTAGGGGTGTCCCCATCTTTGGGTCTCGTTGATTCCTCTCGAAATAAATGAAAAGAGAACCTCATGTTTTTCTCCTCTCCCTCCAACTAGTAGCCATTGTCCTTGCTTAAGGCAAACCAAGGCACCCTAGGACCAGGCTTTGTAGTCCTCTCCCGTGTGGCAGGAAGGTGTGGAATGGCCTTAGCAGACAGGGGCTTTCACACAAATTCACTCATTTTCATTTAAAAGTGGTCTCAAATGTCTTCAAGCACTCCCTTCTCTCCCTTCCTCTCCCAGTTTGTGTTTCCTTTATCCGTGTCACAAGACTCCAGAAACCCTTTCCTTATCTAATTTAAGCCCTTTAAATACCAGGTTTCCACATTCACTCCCCTCCCCCTTCCAAAGCTTCATCTTCCAATGGGTGAAGCAGTGATTCACAGGAAGCTGTGAATGGCTCTCTAAGATTTTGTGCCCGTGTGTGTGTGTGTGTGTGTGTGTGTGTGTGTGTTTTACAAAGAAACTCTTGAGACTTTAAACGTGATGTCCACATTTGTATTATTTCAGGCCCAGAGATGAAATGATCTTAGGAACACGTGGGGACAATGAATTTGGGGGTGGGAGAACGGATCTCTCATTATGAAGGGGGGTTGAAATGCCTCTAACAGCCCTGGCGCAATCCTGACTCCGTGGCGGGCTGTGTCCTCATGAGGAAGTCACGTGGTTTTGCAGGCTTCCTCACACAGAATTTTCTCCCTAAACCTGTTGTCATTTCCTTCGCAGCCCCCGTAGAGAAATGGCTCACACTGGTTTTCCTCCATTTTGTAATACCATCTGTACAAGCCAGCGCGACAGGAGCCCTTCTCCAGAGGCAGATTGCATATGCTCGGATCTACAGAGAGAAAGCAGTTGAGGGCAGCCAGGCCTTCCCCTTCCCCTGGTCCAAACCCCTTTGTCAGGGGTTGAGATGACCCAGAGCACAAGAGTGAGGCTGGCGTGGCAGCTGTGCCCCGTCCCTCTCCTTTCCAGCCCACGGAAGTTGAAGATTCCATTTTTAGAAGTTGCCCGAAGGAGTGCAAATCCCACACTTCATCATTTTTTTTCCAATCGACCCACGTGGTTTTATTCTAGCTCAAACTTCACTTTACGCACCCTGTAAAACTGTGATCACCAAGGGGCCAAGTGACTTTTCCAAATCGCTTCACCACTTGGGGCCAATCTCATACTAGAGGCTGCCGCTCAAGTGTACATTTGTTTGTTTGTAATGTTAAGAAGTTGAACTTCACGGGCTGGGGTTGTGGCTCAGTGGAAGGGGGGACTGGGGTTGTGTGTGGCTCAGCGGTAGAGTGCTCCCCCAGCATGCAGGAGGCCCTGGGTTCAGTCCTCAACACTACATAAAGAAATAAATAAATAAACAAAATAAAGGTATTGCGTCTAACAAAAAAATAAATATTAAGAAAAAAAGAAGTTGAACTTCACATCTCCTGGTGCCTTTCAAGATCTGATTTCCTAGAGCAAGCTTTCCCAGGCTTCCGTCTCTCTCATGGTCAGTTCTAGAACAGACAGCCCCTGGGGAAAAGGTAGGTTTTGAACCTGAGAGCAGGGTTTAGACTTGACTCAGTAACTTTCTAGCTGGGTGACCTTGGAACAATGAGCTATCGTTCATTTTCTTTCACTGTAAAATGGTCTCTAACATCCACATTTGAGGCTTTTTGAGAGGTTAGAGATAACCAATAAAAATCACTGATAAACGGTGGCTGTTCTTAGATGGTTTCTTAGCCAAAAAAGCCCTTGAGCCCAGGAATGTCATCCGGCTGTTTCTGCGGTCCTAGTGCCTAACGGGGGCCTGGCCCTTAGTTCTCAGTAAATATTTGTCTTCAGAGAACAATAACTAGGAACGCATCTGGGGCTATGTCATAAGTTCCTTTGTACTCTCCTTTCATGTTCTTGTCACCATCTGAGTGGCTTTATCCTTGTATTTACGCTTCACACAGCTATTATGACTTCCAGTGTTACATGAAGAAACTAAGGTCAGGGAGATCAAGTGCCTGTCCTGACATCCTGCTGGGAAGCGGGGGACCTAGAATCAAACCAGCTGCACAGGTGTGCGGGGACTCCAGCCACCTTTGTTGTGATAGCATTTCAGACAGCAGCCCTGGAGGGAAAGGATCAGCTCTGCCTCCTCCCCCACCTGCAGGCTGATGGAGGGCGAGGGATAATGAAAGGAGCCCCTACCTGTAAGGAAAGCTGATTCAACAAATCTCTCACCTTTAAATCTGGGCCACCAAGAGCCCAGATTTTGGAGCCCCCTTTCCCGGCTGTACTTTTCCTGTGACGCCTTATCACCTAGCATGTTATTATGTGTGATAGGTACTATGTGCCCCTCTCCCACTAGAATAGGAATTCCACAAAGGCAGGACCTTTGGCTTCCAGCTTCAACCCCAGCACCCAGGACGGCGGCTGCACGTCACACAAGCTCAGCATACATTTAAGTGTGAGGTGAGGAACGGATTCGGTGCAGCTGCGCCTCTGTCCTAGTCCCGACACTCTGAGGTCCCACGTTCCACACTCACCTTTTTCTGACTGAGTCTGAAGCTCTTGGCAGGTGAGAACCAGGAGAAGTAAGAGAGAAGCCTGGAAGCCCATGTTCTCGCCTAGCGGTGGCCCAGCCTAGCACTGCCTTTTTAGAGAGAAAGGGGACCAAAAAGGGGTTGGGGATGACCCCATATTTTGCTTATTCCCTCCTAATTCCTGCTTCTCACGGGGGTAGCTGCCTCTGGAACAGAGTGTCCCGAGCACAGTTCTGCCTTTCTCCTCCCAACTTATCTGATCTGGCCACCAAAGCCAATTTGCTACCACTGCAGGGTGAAAAGCCCTTTTACCAATTCTAAATCACGCACCAGATGCCTTTCTTTGCCAGGCACCATGGAAAAACCTCTTTTTTAAAAAATTTCTAATTTGTGTGTGTGTGTGTGTGTGTTTTTTGTAAATTGAAATATGCTTTCCACATTGTCTCTCGAATCTACATAGGAAATCCTTGAGACTTAGGACCCCATGCTATGGTTTGGATATGGGTTGAGTGTGTTGCTTAAGGTTTGAATGGGGTCCCCAGTGAGGTGAGGTCGAGAGGTGAGGGAGCCTTAACAGACAGGGCTTAACGGTCAGGAGATGAGGTCACAGGGGTGCTGCTCTTGGAAGAGGTTAATGATATCTCGTGAGACCCCAGTCAGTTCCCTTGACAGCAGGTTATTGTGGAGAGAGGACGCCTGGCCCCTAAGTTGCCCAGGCTTCCTCTCTTACCAGGGCACATGTTCCCTGTGCCCTCTCACATGTACTCCTGCCGAGACACTATCTGCCATATTGTGACACAACCAAGAAGGTGCTCAGCAGAGGCCAAACTGAGAAGGCCACCTCATCTTGAAAGACTTCAGCCTCCAAAACTATGAACTAAAATAAAATAGGTTAAACAGCTGGGCACAGTGGTGCACACCTTGCACACCTGTAATCCCAGAGACTCAGAGGCAGAAGGATCACAAGTTTGAGGTCAACCTGGGCAAGACCCTGTCTCAAAACAAAAAAAAAATAAAAAGGGTTGGGAATGTAACTCAGTAGTAGAGCACCCCTGGCTTTAATCCTCAGTACAAAAAAATAAAAATAAAAAATTTTGTCAATTAAAAAAGTTACATAGACTTGGATACCTTGCTATAACAAAGAAAAATGAACTGATATACCCAGTTTTGTAGATGAGGAGAGGTTGAACTACCCTGACCATTGATAGCAAGTTTCAGAACCAGGCCTGAGACCCAAGTTTGCCCACTCCGATGCTTTTGTGTCTCTCATTCAATCCACAGATATTCATCAAGTACCCTCAGTTCACTGGGCAGAGCGTCAGGCCTCTGTACTATCCGGGTGCTCCAAGGGAATTATGGAAGCAGCAAACATACATGGTATGAGGTCAGAAATGGCTACCCCCTTGGAAAAACAGCAGACTTAGTATATTTAAAAAGAAATGTAAAAGCTCAGGGTGAAAGGAGAGCCCAGCTTTGGGTGGTTCAGGGTGTCATTTTGTCTGGAGACACATCTCAGCCCTGAGTCCAGGGTCCAGCACATTTCCCACCTGACTCCTCTCCTGGATCCAATTGTTTTTGAAAGGCAAAGCTGCCATGGCTTTGTGGGACTTAATGAACCTTGGGTTTGAAGTCTGAAGTTGTCCTTGAATTCAGCTACTCTTCTTCTTTTTTTTAATCATCATCATATTTCTTTTGTTACTATTATTCATTTATTTATTTTTGCAGTATTGGAGATTGAACCCAGGAAAGATAGGCAAGCACTCTGTTACTGAGTTAAATCCCCAGTCCCTATTTATTTATATTAAAAATATTTTTTTTTCCTGTGGTGGTAGATGGACAGCATGACTTTATTTTATTTACTTATTTTTATGTGGTGCTGAGGATCGAACCCAGTGTCTCACATGTGCTAGCAAGAGCTCTACCACTGAGCTACAGCCCCAGCCCCCCTCACCTATTTTTTAATTGACAAAAATTTGGTCTATGTGACCTGACTAACATGCTACTTAACATATGCATTATCTCACATACCTATCACTGTGTGTGAGTGTGTGTGTGAGTGTGTGCGCATACTTGCACTTGCAGTGAGAACACTTAAAGCCTATTGGCAGTTTTCAAGTGTACAATGTATTGTTATTAACTATAGTCATCACGTTGTGCATTAGATCTCCACAACTTATTTATCTTATCCGACTGATATTTTGTATCCTTTGGCAAATGGGTCTCCAATCTCCCTCCCCAGATCTGGTAATCACCATTCTACTCTCTGCTTTGAGTTCAGTCTTTTTAGATTATGTAATAAGTGAGATCATGCCGTATTTGTCTTTCTGTGCTCCTCATATTTCCCTTGGCGTAATGTCCCCAGGTTCATCTGTGTTGTCACAAACAACAGAAAGTCTTTCTTTTTAAAAAGACTGAGTAGTGATCATTGAGCTTCCATGTTTTCTTTATCCAGTCTGCCTCTGATGGGCACATTAGTTGATTCTAGTACGGTTACTCTTGACCTTGGGCTAGTCATTTATCTTCTCTGAGCCTCAGTGTTTTCTTTTTTTAATCTATAAATCCAGATTAATTATGCTAACTTAGTATACTTCCTAGAATTGGTGCAAAAATTCAATGAATATTCAAATGCTCTGTGCGTATGAGATGCATGCACAGGTATGTGCCATTTGCGAGTGTGTGTGTGGCGTGATGCTTTTTTGCAGCTAAGCGTGCTGACTGGGTCAGCTCCATATTCGAGTCCTACAGCAATGTGTTCCCACCTTTGCACATGAAACCCCCTGAAGCCATGATGCTCCCTCCTTGGCCACTGCCTCTTCCAACTACAGTCCACGCGCTTCTTGGTCAAGCCTCTCATCATATGCTGATCTTTACTATTCAGGAAAAGGAAAGGCAGGGGTGCCTATGGGTGCTTCTTGGTGGGGAGCTCACCACCGAGCTCTCTCTTCTGGAGCAGCTAGCTGGGGAGCGAAGAGCTGCCTTTAACACACTATTCAGCCCAGGGACAGTTGCAATGTCTGGAGACGTTTTAGATGGTCACAAGTTGAGGATGAGGAACACCTACCTGTATTAGTGGAATGGGTAGAGGCAAGGGGTCCTCCTAAACATCCTCCAATGCTCAGGACCCCGCTCCCCCAACAACAAAGAGTTATCTCCCAAGTGTTAATTGTGCCAAGGTTAGGACACCCCACAGAAGAGTTATGGATATAAATATTTTCTAAAAATATCAAATATTTCCACCACTGGGCTGGGGATGTAGCTCCATGGTAGAGTGCTTGCCTAACATGCATGAGGCCCTGGGTTGGATCCCCAGCACTAAAAATTTTTTTTTCATCATTAACATTGTGTTAACGTCTCAGGACAGTGGGAGGCAGTGCTCGATGAGGGGTGCCTGTACTTATTTAGTCAAATGAGCCTTGCAAGTCTTTGAAAAGCAGGCATGTGTACCCAGGTTGCCCTGGGGGAGCTGTGATCATGACTCAGTGACTTAGCCTGTCGGCAGATGAGCCGGTGGTAGTGTCTTTGTCATTCCAGAAGATGGAGGCCAAGGACAACATTTATTAAAGGCACATACAGAAGCTGGCAGGCACGTCTTACTAGTTACCTTGCATTTACCAAAGGAGTCTCACCCTATGGCAGCCACATGTACAGCATTAGTGTAAAGAATACTTAATTTTGATTGCGACCCATTGATGGTGGTGTAGGGACGGGAGAAGCAGATGAAGGCAGGATTTTAAAGAACAGCTTCCCCATTTGGTTCTGACCTCTGTGTAGCCTTCCTCTTTTCTAGAAGGAGAAAGGGGACGGACATCCTATGTGCACCTACTAGATGTCAGGCCGTCTGCTGCTTTGCCTAAGTAGATTCTCATGAAAAGTCCTTGGACAGATATTACTGTCATCCCCATCTTATCAAACAGGAGAACAGGTGGTAGGAAGGGGCCAGGCTCTGTACAGTTATCACGGCCACCTACATGCCAATAGGGTCTGTTTTACTTTTTACTTTATATATGTTTAAAATACATGTCCAACCAGGCATGGTGGCACGTACCTGTCATCCCAGCTACTTGGAAGGTTGGGAGGAGAGGATCTTGAATTCCAGGCCAACCTGGGCAGATTATTGAGATGGTGTCTCAAAATAAAGTAAAAAGAGGTAAGGATGTAGTTCAGTGGTAGAGAACCCCTGGGCTTAATCCTCAGTATCAAAGTGAAATGAAATAAAAATAAGATAAAATAAATGTTCAGAGTGGAAAAATAGGGCTGGCCACTTTAAGAATAGATTCGATTCTTGCTTTCAGAAATTCAAGTGGAATTTTTAGCATAGGATAATTTTTAGCATTCTATGACTAATGGCTTGAATGTAAATAGGGACTCTAGAGTAGGGCAGACAATGTCTGTAGAACTCAGGAAACTGATCATAAAATATGGGGAATTCCTATTGTGGGGGGCTCAGATTGATCCTTTTCTTGGCAGCTGTGACCCTCCAGGGTTTGCATCTCAGTGGTTGAGCATATAAAGAGGCATCTGTTGTGTGCACTGATAACAGTGCTCATCCTGATTGTTATGGAACATCTTGTTCATACTGGGCAGTGTGTTATGCATGTTACATAAAGTCACCTTCTGCGATCTTGATAAACACCGTACAGCTCAAGTTTTATTGTTTCGCACATTTCGAAGATGAGCAAACCAAGATCTGGGGAAGGTCTGAGACCTGCCCAGGTTTACTGAGTTTGCTGGTGGCTTGACTTAGATTTAACTCCAAGTTTCTCAGACTCAAGTCTTGGTTAACTCATCACACCCACTCCTCCCAGCCCCTTCTCCTGCAAGGGTCTCTGTCCCACAGTGTGACCCAGGCCGTGCGTCACTTTTCCTATCCCAGGCAGACCGGATTCTCCTTGATCAGCTCTTGTGAACTTTTGGTCTTTATTCCTCCTAGAAACGGAGTCTGGTGGAAGGAGAGGAAAGAACTCACAGCATAGAGAGCAGGGTCTGGTGGGGCAGAGGGATCCTGGGCTTGGCTACAGACAGGTGTGGGTGTGTATCATTGACACACTTCTGTGTTCACCCACATATTTACCATTTCTGATGTTCTTTATTCTTTCTTGTGAATCCAAATTACCACCTGGTAATTTCAGTCTGGTCTGGTCTGAAATAAACAGATTTTTGTTGATATGGAAAGTCTTTATTTTCTT